TTGATCCCTGTCCTCTTTATAAAATAATATATACATATAGAAAGACCATTATCATGTTCCACTCTTCTAGACTAAAGAAATCCAGTTCCTCAACACTTCCCTCTGACTTTTTTTTTTTCCAGGCATGTTTCTCGACCCCTGGACACTCCTCTTGTTTTCCTTGGCTCTCTATAGGTTTCCCAAAATGTATTGACTCAAACTAGATATGCTTTGGTAGCTGGAATCTCAGCATTTCCCTCTCAGGTTCCCCTGTTATATGAGCATTTTCCCCAGTGAAATAAAAGCTTTACATACAATAAACCAAATCTACACACACAAACTCAGCTTTGTGTTGTCCATGCATCTGTTTTGGACTCCAATAGCTATCATAAAACATGAGGGTTGGTTACACACAGGCACCTGCTACTCACCCCAGCCCGGTTCCAAAACGGCTGATCCCAGCCGATCGTGTTATCAGGAAAATGCTTTTTAAACTCTTAAATTGCAACACTGCAAGCAACACTTGCAGTGTATTATATCTTGAACAAAGTTTCCCACTGTAAACCTCTGGAAGCCCCTATCTTACGGAAAAGTCAGAAAAATTAACATATTTTAACAAAAGATTATAGCTATCAGAAGAAGTGACTCCCTTGGTGTGGCAGGATTTCCGTTTTGTGGAGTTTGTTCAGCTCATATTGACAAAAAGTCAGGTGTCCTCCATGCAGGGGAACTAACCATCAGAGAAATGTTTTAAGTGCCCTATCAAACACGTAGAGATGATGTTATAAAGAGGTTTATTTTTTTTCTGTCCTGTTCAGTGAAGGTCACCTAACACCATATCTTGGAGGGCTGAGGGAGGTAGCCTGTAGCAAAACTTGCAGAGCTGCCAGAAGAGCAGAGTTTGCATTTTAATTCACAGTGATACAACGTGACTCTTAAATCGCAGGTAATGGGGAGGTTCACAGCGGGGTGTTTTTATGGGAACCCAAATCAGATTTTGGGTCAGTTCAGTGCTTTGGGTGAGGTGAGTGAGTACTTTCAAATCCAGCCATCAGGCAGTGCCTTCTTGGCAAAGGAAGAGGAAGGGGGAGAAGCTGCCATGAGTCCCTGAGCTAAATGTGAAAAGTACTTGAGACTCAATTTGGAAGGAAGAGCGAGCTCCATTTTTTTGATTTTTTTGTTACCTTTTTTTTTTTTTTTTTGTGGACAGGAGTACAGCTAGTCTTCAAAGAGTGTGTCAGTTTTCACCTTTTTTCAAGCCATATTTGGAAATGGAACAGGCTGCTGAAAAGTTGCCTTTTATTGTTTAAATTAAAAAAAATGGAATTGGAAAGTGCAGCTTTTTAAAGACTATGCTATTTGAGCTCAGAGGTAGCTGTATATCCATTTCCAGTTGTACAGATAATCACTGACCTAATTCCAAGTTGCATTCTTTTCTTAAAAATTAATCAAAAGGGTATAATAAAACTGAGATGTTGCTTTGCCTACAAAATATTTACAAGAGGGTTTTTGTTTTCAGACCATAAACTAGAAGATACAGCAGATAGGAGATTTGGATTAAAAACTGGTTAAAGTAGCTACATTTAGAACTTTTATTAGACTCTATGGTCAAATGGAGTAACGTAATGAGAATAGTTTTTGTTAGACCAATTTAACCACTTTTTGTACTACCACGGTCTTGGATCATTTTTCTTATTTCAGTTCAATCATCTTTACCCTAGTGTTACTCTACTGACTTGTCTGGCATCATTCCTGAATTACGTTATTGTAAATAAGATCAAAACCACCTCTTTTGACTTCAGGAAACAACAGCCATTAACAAAAATCCAGCTCTATCCTTGATAAGGCTACTCAGTTTGGCTTGGCTTTGAATGCAAGCAAGTGTAACAGTCTTTGAACGTGTTCTGCAGAGCTAGCAGAACATTTTGTGCCACATGTTCAGATGTCGCGGTCTAAATTGTCGTTTAAAGGTAGGTGGGTTGGCTTTTGTTTCTTTGCTGTTGTTTCTGGTTTTGTGTTAACAGTTGAAGGCTGCACGGTGCTCAAACTGGGAAGGCAGTAGCCATGGTTATTGAACAGGAGCTCTGGGAACTAAGAAGTCTCAAGGAAAATATCAGAAAAGATGTAAAAAGACTCCCTAGAATTGCAGAGGGTGCAGAAAGGATTTGGCACACGGGTTCCCTGAAGTGGAACAGTCACCTTGAACGCTGTTCCATCACGGAGGGCTGCGTGATGGCACTCAGTGTTTTGCTGGACCTGCAGGACCTTTGGAAATGCTCAGCCTCTGGGAGAAGTGGGTTTTTCTGCAACAGAAAATGAAGTGGAGGTTGTAAATTGTTTGCACTACACAGTAAGGCTTTAGTCCTTGCAGAGAGTGTTATTGCATTTCACCTACCTTAATGTTGTTAGTTTGCTCTTGATTTGTTTAAAGGAAGCAAAGATTGAAAGGTCAGGAATGAATAGTTTTGGAAAACCCAGTGCTGCCTGTATCTCCCACAAACTTGGAGAGAGGAGTCACAGTTTGTACCATTTGTGAATATTTCCCACTTTGTTTTGTAGTTTCTTTTGCTCCTTTTCCCCTGTAAAATAATTAATTTATTCTTTATGAAAAAAGACTTAGCTGACTTTTTTGTTAATTAACTTTGATCTCAAACAAAATTTGATAGGATTATTATTATAACATTGACAGCAGAGAGGCCACAGGGATCCATGAGGTGTGAAAGGGGGAAGAGCCCTGCAGAACATTCAAACCTGTTTGTCCACAGCACAGACCTTGTATTCATAATTTGGGACGTGAATAAACAGGACCTTCTTCAAATAGCTGGGGGGGACCTTAAGGGATGGCAACATAAGCATGCTACTGTGCTGTTAATTTGGGTATGAATCTGCAGCCTTCCAGTAAATTTGCAGGAGCAGTTTATATGCATGCTCTTCTCCAATGGGGAAATCAAGGTAAAGATAAATTTATCTTTGAATTTATCTTTTGTTTCCGAGTTTTGGCCTGTAAATCTAGAACCTAAAACAAATCCTGAATTTACTAATAGAGGCCTCATTTATAGGCCCTGGTTCTCTTCTACTGTTGATTTTAACCGGCTCTTAGAGCAGCAGACTCACGCAGCCACCAACAAGCCTTGGGTTGCAGATGAGCTTGTGTAGCAGAGCCCCTTGACTCTAAAAAGTGTTAACAAGGGGTACATTACACTTCAATTCAAATATATCCATTCATATCATTCCTTACCCAAATCACCTGAAAGACTGCTGATCACTAGGCTTTGCATCAAGGTCCTCTATGAAGATTCTTTAAAAAGGTTTTTTTTTTTTCCTTTTTTTTTGTCTTTTTTACAGCATCTCTAGGACTGGAAAGCAGGACTTCTAGGTTTTATTCCTAGTTCTTTCACTGCTTCACTCTTCCTGCCTCTGGTTGCTGTCTTGGGCTGCAAGTGTGACTTAGATTTAGTCGTGTGAGTCTACATTTAGGAATTTCTGTAAGATGTCCAACTTACTGAGACTTGCTCTACAGTTCTCAGTTCCTGTCAACCTCAGTGACTAATCCAGCTGAGGAAATCTGGCGTTATCTCAGTCTCTTCATTTTTAGAGGATTATATGGGGGACTCATCTACCTCTTAAAGTACAGTGAGATCTTTTAATGGTTGTGATATCCTCTGCCTGCAAATGAAAGTGGCCATTCCCTAGCCATCTTTTGCTAAGGAAAAGGATATGGAGGATGTAAGCGAAATCTTTAGTGAGGTCAAAGGTATCCAGCATGTTCTGTTGATTGTATTTCAATGTTAATTGATGATATTGTGCTGCTCAGCATGTACAGACAGTTCTGTAAAACATGTTCTTATTAAAACACATCCAAGTGGAAAAACTCCACTTGGGAGGTTTTTCTCAACACTGGGAGAAGCATTCCCAGTGTTGCTGACTCTGCCAGCAGTGCAGTCTTGCCAGGATACCCCCAGCTGAGGGTGAGTTAATGACAACATCTGGCCAGGAATGAGTGACGATGCCCTGTGGCCCTCAGAGCACATCTGGTGGTCACGGCCATGGACGAGCAGCTTTACCCAGTGCTTAGTTTTCTGCAAGGAAAGAGTTTTCTTGACATTTATGGCTGGATATTTTGAAAATGGCCCAATCCTTTTTGTTACATAAATGGTTACATCGATACAGGATGAATGTCTATAAATGCACATACATACATGCATATACATTTTTTATATAATTACAGTATACTTTTAATGAGTAAGAATGTGGACTGCCTAAAAATTGTCTGTATAGCTAATTAGTCCCAAAGGTCCTAAATCGTCTGACCATCAAGGCATACTGCAAAAGTCTCCTCTTGCAGAGGGTTTTTAAAGGGGCTAATGGGACATTCTCTCCAAAGGTTGGAGAGGATGAAAAGATTTTATGGGTGGTTCTTTGGCAGAATTCCTGTTTGAAACGATTATTTTAAAACTGCTGGATTATTTTTGTCCTTCTAATTCTGAATTAAAATGTCCAGACACTTTTACAAGCATATTTTTCATATTATTTCTTTAAATCAATATATGTACATGCTCTGCTCTTGTTTTTCTTTGAAATCTTGCTGAAGAAAAGATGGAAAAGATGGAATTTTTCAGACAGCACAATGAATCATCAATGGAGTGAAAACACTGAGCAAATTCTCTTTTGTTTAAGAGAATGGCTGGTACTCAGTTCAGTCCAGCACATTTTCACGGGGTGCAAGGGAGCAGTTCAAAGAACTGGCAAGGAATGGGTCCTGCATATTCATGAGCCTGGGAAAGGAGGTGAAGGTACCCAAGAAGGCAAGAAAAGCAATATGAGGATAGAGTGGAATGTGGAGTAAGTTGCCACCGTATCCTATTTTACTGCTGTTTGACGTAAAGTCTCTTTGCTTTTACACAACCACTGGAACTGAGCTGAAGCAACTCAGGGCCTAAATAATGAATGTGTCTTTTACATGTTAACAGAGGAGACTCTGCACCTCGTCGCAGTGATAATGTGCCCCTCTGTTCTCTCCCTAGTCTCCAGCTTATGTTCCAGATGTCAGCCCAGATCTTATCCAACAGACAGAAGAAAAACTCAAAATCAGCCCCTGCAAAGAGCTGTTCTCTCAGTGCACAAAGTAAGTATAACTCGATAGCCAGGGTCAGCATCTTGTAAGGAATGTGCCAGGTAAGGAGAGAAGTTTGAATTTGCATGTGAATCGTGTATTTTTGACTTATATTCAGAATCTGAGAGACATCACTGACAAATGGTGCAGTTATTTCATCTGAACAAAATATAATAAATATTTCCATGCTGTTATATACACTACACACAGGCACTTAGTGTTTCAGGTATTTGACAGAGTGTTCTAGCCAAGTAAACCAGCCATAGATTTCGTGCTGTGTGAAAAGAGCTACAATGATAATGTATCCAAAGAAAACATCTCTCTTTCAAAGTGAATAAAAATTAAGTGGCTATACAGTCCATTTAGACAGAGGAATGTGCAAACTTGCTCTGCACGGCTTTTCCAGAAAATCTTCAACGGGAGAATGAGGCTTTTTTAATGCTTGCTGTCTGCCTGTGGAGTTCAAATGTGCGTGTGTTATTTCATGCTTTGTCTGGGAAAAGGCTTATCAGTTTTTGCAGTGGCGAGGCGCTTTGTGCTATTATGTTCTAAAGCTCCAGGTATGCGATTTGCATTTGCAAATACCGGCCCTGGTACGCGCACGCCAGTAGATCATAAACCAATAAAAATATGAAAAGGAGGGATCATTGCGAGCTCGTCCGTGTGGTTTCTGGCTCAGCACAGTTTTTTTTCCCTGGGTGATGTAATGGGGATTTGTAAAATTTGCTCCGCTGTCATTCATTGTTTTGACTCATTTCATTGACCTTTTCTGTTTTCAGTTATTCTTTGCGTTGGTAGGAGATGCGGGTTATTTCTGGCCTCCTCTTGTAGCGAGTTCACTCGCTTTGGCCTCGTGTCGTGTTGAGATGCTCGTATAACTCGCAGCACTCGCGGGTGCCAGTCACGGTGACAAAGGCAGAGCTGTGAGGGACACAACCCCGATGTCTGCTCCCATTTCTGACATCGATTCCCGAGCTGACAGTTTGCTGCAAATGTGCCTTGTCGGTGCCAAAGAGGGAACTAAAAAGCAAACGGCTGGTGAAAGGCGGCTATTGTTTTTGAAAGTTCGTGAAGCTTTTAATTAACTGAATGAAATTGGCTAGCATCGGACACCGCTTAATGCAGGCTCTTATTCACAGGCAGCCAGTCCTTTTTGTGAACTGAAACAGATAAATTAGCCAGTTTTGAGACCTTGCTGATCAATGTGCTGATGGTTTCACATGGACCGAGATGGGGTCAAAAGGAAGTTTTAAAGCTTGCTGCTGCTCTTTGCTAAATGCACTGGGTAGCGTTAATTTTGGAAGTGTTCTCAGTCAAACCAAAAAAGGGAAGCGTGCGCACAAGTATGAAACTTGACATCCCGTGGGAGCAGAGCGGGGATGAGTTTCAGACAAATCCTCCTAGATAAGATCAATACGCGAGAAAAATGTATGTGTAAACGTACATGTGCTTCTGCTTTGACCTTCAGTATTTAGACTGTGTTCCACTATCTCCCCCCTACTAATTTCCTCTGTAATTTGGAGTTTGAATTTGGACATTTTTTAAACCTCATTAGCACGATTTTTTTTTTATAAACTTAAATCTACTTAGGGAGAATATTTCTTCTCCTTAAGATTTATTCTGCATGATCTGTGTCCATTCAAAGCTGACTAAGGCAACAGCCATTTGACTTGTGAATACTGAGTGCTTGCAATCACCTGCTTCTTGCAAATCTATGGATCAAGAATTATTAATGCAAAAATTCAGACACCTGAGAGTTTCCAAAAAACTAATGAATTGTAGTTAAAGAATGGAGCAGAACTAAACTGAGGAGACACATTTTTCATTCTGAATTGTTTGCGTGTTTCTAGAACCATACCAGGATGAGGCATAGTTTATCCTTTCTTCAACCAAAATAGTTGTGCAGAGAATTTTCTCTTCCAGAAAAAAAAACTAGATATTGATAAAAATTAATTTATATCAGATTTTTTTTTCTAAATGGAATTTTATTTTAAAAAGAAGATTTTTTTCTTCTTTAAGAAGAATTTTTGCTATGAAGAAATGGTCCCAGTTGGGCCTCTCCACCAAGACTTTGAATCCACTGTGTGATCCCCCAATTCTCCGCTTGATGCAGACACAAATTCCCCAACTTAGTTTCTGCAAGGCACCCAGCTGTCAGGAAAAGCCCTTTGACTTTAAGCAGAGTTATTGTTTCTTCTGTTTGTTTGTTTTGCTCAAAACAACACCTCTGATCGCCTCCTTTCTGATGAAAATGGGCTCCAGCCAGAAATTCTAGATGCACATTGAACATTCCCTAGAGTTTAGGAGCTCGGTTCCTGGTAGAGCTGGGTTCAGTCAGGCTTAGTTTACTAACAGAAACTAAGATATCAGTTCCCCAGTGGCTAACAGCCTCTGTAGCTAACAGCTCTCAGCTTGTATAAGGCCTCCTATTATGAAATAATATAAGCACATCACTTCATTCCCAGATAGTGTTTAATGATTGAAACGGTGAGTAAAATAAAATAGAAAATAAAGTGGAAGGGAAATGACCCTGATTTACAAGCAGTCTGGATTTTTTCCACTTGTTTCATTTGTCTTTTGCTCCAAATTCAGGCTTATAAAATGCTTATATATCCTTTTCATCTGAGATAGATCTGTCCTTGACCACCTCAGTGGGGAACCATTCCAAGAATACCTGAACAGCATGTACTTCGACAGGTTTCTGCAGTGGAAGTGGCTGGAAAGGTAAGTGTTCTTATCTTTCTTTTATTTTTTTAATACAAAATGAAAATAAAAGGTTTATTTTCACTTTCCATGCCGAGCTTATAGAACACAGTCAAAATATGACAGTTGAGATAATGCAGATCTCTGTGTTTTGACAAAGCTTTGCAGCAAATTTCAGTGTAGGGCCTGTCACCACGAGCTCTATACATGCAGAAGCTTTTGAAGGATATATTGCCCTTGTTCATAACATACTCTTGTGTGTCTGTAATGCTAAATATAAGACACCCATCCAGTGTCTGGCTTTCACATTTGCAGTGAGCCCAAGCAAGAATGAACCAGATGCTGCTTGATAGGGAAGTAAATTATAAAGCAGGAATCCTTTCCAGGGAGCTTGTTTGGGCCTCTAAAGCTCAAGTGTTCTGCTGCTAAATGAGCAGCACCTTAGGTATGATTAAAATACATTCAACAATTTCAGTCTTCCTGCTTATCTACGCTGAATATGGGGGCTTTTATCTGGACCAATTATCACCATTCTCAACATCACTGTAAACAGAACCAAACACGGCATGTAGGTCTTATTGGCACCGTATTATTGGCTAGACATTTATGATCACACTTAATAATAAGGTATCCTTAGGGGTCTCATTTGCAAGGAAGGGGCCTTTGCTTTTTCTTTGCTCCTGAGTGCTGCAGACTGACTCACACGGTTGGGTAGCCGTGACCTTGAGCAGAGTGATGCCCCAGTTGCCACAAATTGAATTAACTGTGGGAGATGAGTTATGGCCAGGTTCTGCAGAGGTGTGTATCAGCATAACGCCTCGGAGATCAAGGCCAGTTACATTCCCTGGAAAGTACAAAGCCGGGGCAGGAGAAGGAAGGGAAGCAGTGGGGAGAGTGGGGACAACCATGTCACACCAAGACATGCTCCGTGTGCCGTCTTTACTGAATCCAGCATTTACTCTTCTATTTCAATTTAAAAAACCATCAGATGAGTCATCTGTAGCCAGGCTATTTCCTATCCTATTTTCACATGTAGGATAGGGAATTTTCTCAAATGCTTTGAGGATATTTTTTTCATTCCCCTGGCAAACATGACAAGCTATCAGATGTGCCCATCCATCTTAAGAAGCTGGGAGAGCTGTTTTTAGGATTAGCAAAGAGATGTTAGTAGCGTGGAGTGATCAACAGCTCCCTCTGACAGCCTGCTGGCTCCAACAGAAGAGTCAAACAGTCCATTAACTCCAGGGACATTGTTGAGCTTGTAGTTATCATTGCTAATTGTTGCTTTTAACCCTAATAGCATATGCAATATCATCTTAGAAGTCTGAAAATAGCATCTTCTAGTTTTGGCTTTTGCATGTTTTTCTTCCCCCGCTTTTCTTTTTAAAAGTAATAATGAACATAAATGAAACAATTCACTTGAACATTTATTCCTATTGTCATCAACCTCATCGGCAACACTGTTAGCCCAGCCACGTTATTGTGCTCCCTCTGCTAGCTGGCTTCCTGCCAAAGGCAAAGCAAAACTACTATAGGGTTCTTATGAATATTCATTAGTGGCTGCTAATACAATTTTAAATCCTCAGTGATAGAGCAGGGGATATATAATGTGATGTCTCAGAAACTAGAGTCATTTCTCTGACATATTATAAAACTTTTATGATAACAAATGCTGTAAAAGTTTGATTTAGGGTTGGAGCTCTTTTGGTAGATCTGAATTTCATGGAAATCCTATAAAATAGTGTTTGAGCTGATATAGTTGTGCAGAAACTTTTCCAAAATGACTTTAGAAACCAGCCCCAACAACAACAACAAAATAAAGACAACTTTCTGGCCTTCCTGGTAGCACTGGAGAGATGGCAGGGCATCAAGCGTGAAGCTCACCCATGTAGCTCCTGCTGCATTGGCCCAGTACCCGCATCTCCTGTCCTGGCACAGAGGAGACCATGGGTCAGGTCCCCCTTGCGCCTGATGGGACCTCTCCATCATGACCTTCTCCAGAGTGGCCATGGGCACCCATCACAGGCCAGGATCACACATCTCTCAGACTTGGCATATCATAACCTCCAAAGCAGGGCTATGGGAATGTCTTGTTGTGCTCACCATGAGGCAGTGAGTAGCTGCCTGACCGTATCTGTCGTCCCTGTGATATCCCTGCCTGCCTCGTGCTCCGCTGCACGAGGGTCTCCCGGGAAAGCCACTTGTGCTGCCCCAGAGGGACAGGGTCCCGCTGAAGATGCTCGTCTAGGACGGTGAGACCAAACAAAATCCATGAGGTAGGGAGCCCTGCTCTCACGAGGAGAAAGGGATTTATTTGGTTCTCAGTTTGGCTCATGATTTGGCCCTTATCAGAATGCGATTCAAGGAGTGTAGTCCCCCGTTGACTCACCAGCAAAAACAAACAAAACGGAACAAGACTCAGTGGTAAATTCACAAAAGAAACCAAATGCAAGCGCTTCCTTGTCAGGTGAATGGTTTCAGCACACTTCTTTCACATGCTCAAAGGAGAGAGATGCTTTTCCTCCTCTTTCGCCCCACGATAGTGTCCCCAGAGGCAGGTGGCTGAGGCTGGGCCGGAAGGGCTTCGAGCCCGGCTTCCTGCTCCCAGCGCTCCGTGAATGCAATCCCATCCCACCCCAGCAGTTCCCAGGATTGTTTTTTGCTTGTTTCCTATCGATTTCCTGTTTTGCTTAAGGTCAAGAAAACGGAGATGCTTTTGTGGTGGATTGAATTGCAGGTCTCTTTTTCTCAGTCAGAGGACCAGGCAAAATAAGCGTTTACCTTTAAAAGATTTCTGTGTGGCATGAAGTGATCCATGGAATGAATTGTGGCCACAAGCTCTTAGGCCTCCTCTTTGCTTAGCAAAGGCCAAACCATATAATGGAGATCCAGGACCCTCTTTAGTCCTAAGATTCTATCAGAAATTATACTGATGACTCACTAATGTGTTGTATTTTATTACGGCTTAATATGTTGGAATTGAAAAGTTCAAGTCATACATAGTATTGAAGTAATGTAATTACATAATTATATATTATATTCTATAATGTGATTACCTTGAAATAATATGATTACATAACATTTATCTATTTTGCTTTTCAAAAGTATGCTCTGAAATAAATAAATCACAGAGAGTGCATTAAACATAGCATGTCGTTTTCATTTCCTTCTTTTCCAGGCAACCAGTAACGAAAAACACGTTTAGGCAGTACAGGGTACTCGGGAAAGGTGGCTTTGGGGAGGTGAGTAATTCTGAAAGCTCCTGCTACAAATGTTTCTTACTTCCCAGGCAGTGCAGGCTACAGAAGCCTGATGAGGCAGATGCTGATTTTCACTTAACTGCTGACAGTTTCGCTTAACCTCTCATGATGCTGTAATCTCCCAAGACCCTTTCAAAAATTATTTTTAATCTGCCTGTTATATATGTGTGGAGTGAGGGTCGCACCCTTATTTGTATGTTACTAGTGGCTTGAGGTCAGTGCCCGGGCGCAGGCCGAGCAGCCCCGGACGGGACTCGGGAGCAGATTACAATCTAAACAGACAAAGGGAGGTGGGAGAGGAAGCAGGCGGAGGAAAGTGAAATAATTAAACCAGAGCTGCACAGCGGGTTTGGAAACAGCATCAGCTCCCCACATGCCCCCGCCTAGGCCATATTCACTGCGCCGCCGGCTCTAGCCTTAAAAGGACTAAATTGGGTCAGATCGTGAGCAGCAAAGTGCTACCCAGACAACGTGTTTTCTTTAACTTACCCAAGCAATTGTTCTCCTTAATTCTCAGGTCTGCGCCTGCCAAGTCCGAGCAACAGGGAAGATGTATGCCTGCAAAAGATTAGAGAAGAAGAGAATAAAGAAGAGGAAAGGCGAATCCATGGCACTAAATGAAAAGCAGATTTTGGAAAAAGTCAATAGTCAGTTTGTAGTGAGTATTGAAATCTCTGGAGTTGAATGCTGTGGTCACCTGCTGAGCACCACGTCTGTTGTTGAGTCTGGTGCCTCTTCCAACTTGCTGTTACACAAAAGGCCCCCGGAGCTGCCTCCCTGCTCCTTCCACCTTCGCCCTTCTCCACGCACATGTGCTGAGCCTCGCTTTTAGCCTGTGGTCTGTGAGAAATGCACCAAACACGGCGCCTGCTTTTGCCATGGGAACCTAATGCTCTTTACAACCTTGACTTGCATCAGGGTTGCATCAGGCTGAGCTATTTTTATCCAGAGTGATTACCTGAAATCCCAATGCCTGTGAGAAAGGAAGGAGGTTGAGACTGAAGGAAATGCAAATGGAATAACTCAGGAGAGCACCTAGCCAGTGATAAGGAGCTGGACTTAGGGTTTTCCTAGTTATTGTGAGTTCTGCCAGTTCGATCTAGTGTCTTTAAAAACTTGTCGTAGATTAAAAAATGTAGTTATTTTTGTATCTGCCACGTTTTTAATACTTATTTTAGGAAATGCTGTGACTACAGCGCACAGAAAGGCAATCATGTTTACAAACCCCCGGGAGAAGCAGGTACAGGGGCACACATAAAAAAGGCTTTTGTCCAACCATTCCTGGGGTACCCGCGCAGCCTTGCAGGGTTGGTACAGACCGTCGTGTCTCTGCCATGGTCAGAGCAGTGCAGGCAGGGGCAGTCTGCACCTTCCTGGGATGAGCTTCTGCTGCCAACTGGATAGGGAGCAGGAGGTGTGATGGCCTTGGCTGCTAAGATTTCTCTTACCTGGAAAAGGATGCCTAAATTTAATAGGTTTGCCCACTGTGGGAAGCTCTGTGAGCACTGAAGTTGATGCTTTCTGATAAGTAACCTGTAAGATTCTAATATTTGATTTTGCTATATTTTTAATTGTACATTTGCTATTGTGAAAAGGCCTGTATCAAATCTGGCTATCTTTGGTTAGTACCCAATATATTCTTCCTTTATTGCAAGTCATATTTTAATGAAAAAGTCATCAGTTTCCTCTTTGCAGATAACTGAACTGTCACAATTATGCTATCAATGTTTTTCTAGGTCAATTTAGCCTATGCCTATGAAACAAAGGATGCACTGTGCTTAGTTCTGACCATAATGAATGGAGGTGACTTGAAGTTTCATATCTACAACATGGGAAACCCAGGCTTTGAGGAAGAACGAGCTTTGTTTTATGCGGCAGAGATTCTTTGTGGCTTAGAAGACCTACACAGAGAAAACACTGTGTACAGGTAAGCTTTTCCTAAAATCTTGGGACATCTTTTGCAGGTGAAAAAGAATTTTCTGCATCCCTCCTACATGCTCTTTTTAGCGCAATGCATTTTAGATATGATAGTGTTTTTCCTCGGATTTCTCAGAGCCTGTGTATGATTCAGTAATAATGGAACTATCTTCTGCCTAAATCACATTGAACTAACCTAAAGCTCCCCAAATCCTGTCTCAGCAGGCACTGAGTGACTAAAGACAATTATGGAAGTTCCTTTAAAGGGGTTTTATTACAGAACCTACTTGCGAGTTGTTACAGAACAGGGATGATTCAGTTCAAACTCTCTTAGATTAATAGTAGTAGTGTATTGCATGAGGGGCTGCAGCATGTCAGATACAGAGGAGACCTCTCTCCTATGGTCATAGGAGCGGGATATCAATGTTAGCCAGGCGTGGGTTTGCTGAATGGCAAAGCACCTCCTTGCCCCTGTGCTGTGCTTGTTGTCCACGGTGTGAGATGGAGGGAGCTCCGTCCGTCTCACACCGTGGACAACAAGCACAGCACAGGGGCAAGGGCAGCAGGTCACAGCCCGTTAACACGGCAGGTTGGGCTGGCTGGCTCCGTTCTCCTCGCTGTGGTGGAGCAGAGAGTCCAGAGAGCTCTGCACAACTGGTCCACCTTGCCTGCAGGCCGAGGGACGGGGAGGTTTGGCAAGTGGCAGCCAAGCCCTGCTCCTCGGGGTGGGAACCAGAGCGCGGTCTGTGTTTTCTCCCCAGCACTCTACGCCCTCTACCCAAGCACAGCTGCTGCTGCGGGCCCTGCAGCAGCTCTGCCT